TCTTCTCTTCTTTTCTTGTCTTTTTAGTGATCTCTTGCTTTCTTCATGGATAATGTTCTTGATATCTTCCCACAATTCATCTGGCTTTCGGTCACTGAACAATGCAGCCATTCATCCTACAACACATATTTTTTGGGGACACAGTTCAATCCATAGGAGTTCCTTAGAAGTGCAGATGGTGAGATTTTTGTCTCAGGTATTTTGGACATGTTATCAGGAGGGACCAGTCTCTGGAGAAGAACATCATGCTTGGTAGAGGTCAGTGAAAAAGAGGAAGACCCTCAATGAGATGGATTGACATGGCATTTGTGACAATGGGCTCAAACACAGCAAGGATTGTGAGGATGATGTAGGACCACAGACAGTGTTTTATTCTGTTTCACATGGGGTTGCTATGAGTCAGAACCAATACAATGGCACCTGACAACAACAACAACAACAAAGACAGAATCCTAGTCTGGGAGCTAAAATAAATTTTGCATATAACCCTACTTACTTAACCTTATATTTCCCAAATATTTTATATATGAAGGAAAAAATAAAGATGAACATAAAACTACTGTGCTCTATTTTTTAAAAAGAGTGAAAATGCCCAGATTTCTTCAATAATAAAAAGTGGACACACATTTATTTTAAAGCATTGTTAGTAATATGACCAAATTGTGAACTTAAATATTCATTCTTTACATTGGCAAACTCTGGTATTACAATAATGATAACTATTTAATGAAATAATTTTCTATGCATTGTTGCTCTTATCAAATATTTGAGGCTGGGCCACTCAAGAGCACACTGCTTTATATTAATTATGTAAAGACAGACACATTATATCTACATACATATATTGCAAGAAAAAGTGGAGTACCATTTTTACAAGTGTTGGTCATATGTCTATGAAATGTGAATTTGGGTCCTCCATGACAGACACTGATAAGTGTTCAAAATGAAGCTTGACAGAAGGAAGAGCAGCAGAGAAATCCCTGAATGAAAGAACTTTCTTTTGGGGGAGAGAAATCAGTTGTTGAAATCATGCAAAACAAAAGCAGTCCAATTTGTTTTCAGTGGATGTACATGCTCCAGACAGTATGGAGGCTCCTAATGTGCTCTCTGCTGGTGAGAGCATGCTACTATTAATGAAAATATAAATATACTACCTTTCTAAAGCAGTCATATTCCATTTTTTCCCTCTATAATATCACTAATTGTTACTTGTTGTTATGTGCCATCGAGTCGGACCCAACTCATAGTGACTCATCCTTGGGTTTCTGAGGCCGTATCACTACAGAAGTAGATTGCCCAACCTTCCTTCCGAGGAGTGGCTGGTGGGTTTGAACTGCCAACCTTCTGGTTTGGAGTCAAGTGCCTTAGGCACTGTGCTACCAGAGCTCTAACACTAAAGGTAGCTGCAATTTATTTTGTGAATAATATATAGCCCTCTGTAAAAGGAAGCATGTTATTAAAATAGATTATTACTCCAGAGATACATCTACCTCTAAATTCTCTGTTCTAGAAATAGTCCATGGTTTCTACTATTATTTTATTGTTAATAAATTTGAAAAATCTTATGCTTCAATTGATTTCTCAGATAAGGACTGGAGCAAGTCCTTATAGAGATTTGAGTTCATAAACCGAGGGTATGAGTCTCTGTGCATTAGAGTGTATATCTGAAGCTGTGCATCATCAAATATATGCTGGGATGGTTCCAACATGTTTCTGTTGATGACTTCTCTTACTCTGGAGTCTAAACTGACCTGTAAATAGAAACAAATGATACTAGTGTTAGATGCTACCCTTTGTCAATTTATCCCCAAATCCCATAGTTTTTCTGTGTTTTAAAAATCTCTAACCAAAAAAACATCATCCAAAAATCCAAACCACAGCAAGAGCAACTGAAAGCATAAACAACAGAGGCTATCACACTTTGGTGGCCTCAGAAGCCCCTGGAGCACTTGTTAAACACAGACTACTGGGTTGCCCCCAGAGTTCTGATTCAGCAGATGTGAGTTCCCAAAACCCCAAACCCACTGCCTTTGAGTAGATTCTGACTCATAGCTACCCTATGGGACAAAGCCCCATAGGGTTTCGAAAGCTGTAATCTTTACAGAAGCAGACTGCCACATCTTTCTCCCACAGAGCAACTGGTAAGTTGGAACTGCTGACCTTTTAGTTAGAAGCTGAATGCTTAACCACTGCGCCACTAGGGATCCTTAGGTCTGGGTAGGGACCTGGTAATTTGTATTTCTAACAAGTTCTAGGTAATGCTGATGGGAACACATTGTACAATCGTGCTTTAGAAAATCTCAACTTTGTTCTGCTTCCTTAAAATGACTGTACTGTATTCTCTAAAGAAAAATGGAGCATGCAGACATGTGTGCCATGGAATTGATTCCCACTCAGATGAGCCCTAGTGGTGCAGTGGTTAAGAGTATGGCTCCTAATGGAAAGGTGAATGGTTTGAACCCACTCCATGGAAGAAAAGACCTGGTGATCTGCTCTTATTAGGATTTACAGCCCATGCAACAGTTCTACTCTGTTTTATTGAGTCACCACAAGATGTACGGGAGCTCTGGTAGTGTAGTGCCTAAGGCATTTGACTGCTAACCAGAAGGCTGGTGGTTCAAACCCACCAGCCACTCTTCTGAAGGAAGATTGGGCAATCTACTTCCTTAGAGATACCACCTCGGAAACCCCAGGAGGGATTGCTAATTTCTTAATAATACTTGAGGGCACTAGAGCTTCAACACAGATGAAAACAACTGGTTTCAGGGAATCCGTGCCAGGCCAACTGGTAAGAAAGGGAATGTCAGTGCCTGGCTACCACTGTCAACTATTCAGAGGGGGATCTGTGTAGGAGATCCTGGATAGAATGGGAAAACAATGTGGAACAAAACTCAAAATTATGAAAAAAAGACCAGGCAGGCTTGCTGCTCTGAAAGAGCCTGGTGAAAGCCCTGAGATATGGCCCCTAGCTGCCCTTCAGGTCTGGAATTGAACTCCTGTGGCTTCCAGCCAAATAAAAGACCAGCATATGGGTTGAACATTTACATTAGGTAGATAGACTCCTTGGAGAGATCAATCATGGGAGAACAAAAGGGCAGTGTATACACAGGGAGATGGCTCAGAGGCGCAGGGTTTCATGGGAGGGAAGGATGCAGCGAAGAGGTAACTTATGGGGAGGAAGTGGGAAGAGAGAGCTGTTACATTGTGGGAAATTGCAGTCAATGTCACCAGACAAAATGTATATGAACTGCTGTATGGAAAATGAAATTGCTCTGTAAACTTTCACCCAAATCACAATAAAAATTTATATATATACATATATATATAAAAGTTAAAAAGAAAAAAAGAAAGAGTGTCAGTAACCTGGGAGTTGACTCAGAAGCAATATGGAAGGTTTAAAACCATGAGCCCTGTTGTTGTTAT